ATGCATACATGCATACATATACATATACATATAAGACACATGGAGCTTTTCATAGTCATGCACAGCCAGAAAGGAACAACACCTAACTGAACATTTGATATACAAGCACAGTTTCTTAAACAGGGTGGGCTCCGACATGATTCTTGCTACCAGCCAGTATATCAACAGTAGACCTAAAACGCTGTTTGACTCCAGGAGGGCACCCGCTGAATCTCGTGGCACCAGCAACGGATCACGATGTCCCGATGGTTCGCCTGCAACGAGGGGATGGCTCGTGGGTTTTCGGATTGAGAGGTTGGCCCTTTGGTGTCGATGCCGAGGTTTATGGGGTTTGCGGTTGCAGTGCTCAGAGATCTTGTCAGGACTGGGACCGAAAGACAGTCTCTCTGTTCCCGATTCGCATGTAATTACGAGCGAAAGTATTGTTGAGGTGTCTGCGACAGATGCCGGCTCTCTTTTAGAAAGTCCATCGCAGGCTCTAAACTTGAGCCCTACACACCCTACAACGGTGTTCGAGATTCTGGCCTTCGGAGACTGAGTCTGAAAGCATCAGTATAATTACGATAATCGCCATCACACCTGTCACTCCTCTCCCCTGTTCCGCGTATATTTCTTGATAGCTCGAATATGTTTGCTGTCATTAATTCCCGTCTGTCTTGCATGGCTACTGTAGTGACAAGATCAGTTGCAGGACCAACACGACTATGATGACCATTCTGACAGTCATCGTGTTTCAGAAGATGACGAGTACCACGATGACTCGTTTTGTCACAAGCCATAGTTTCGATTGTGCCGCAAACAGAAGAAAGCATGGAAAAGCCGTCCACAGGAGAACAAAAGAGCCGGATTTTGCTAGTCCCTTTAGGGAGGGCTTTCGGCGTGTAGATATGTCTAAGGTTTCTTGGAGGATTCGTTGTTCAGGTTAGAGAGTCAGCAGCGCCAGGACCGATGCGAAGGCTGGCGACCTTCTTGGAGCTCAGGGTGCACAGCCCGAGGAAGACCTCAGAAGAGTTTTGTCGCACAACCCACACAACATGTCCAGTGGGTGAAAGATGCCTCAGCTGTAGTATTGCCCGGCAATAGTTAATATTAGTTGCTACTAAGCTACTGCTCCGGCAGAGGAGGCTGGGCCACCTTCCATCGAAAAATCCCGACGAGTCCAGTGGATGGCAAGATTTTGGATGTCGGCGTGAAGTTGAAGGTCCTCTCGTTTCGGGGTAGTCGGCCTTACCAGGACCCCGTGCGCGCCAGATGTCGCGCAGGTTGAAGAGGTAGTGCGACTTGGCCGGGGTCGGCAGCAAATCCTGGCTGGCTCCATCCAGAAAACCGATTGCAAGCTCGGTAATCAAACTCACATCCTACCAAATCTTACAGATCAACCTCCACTCCATGTTCTCGTGATTCTCTGAATCCCTGTGCAACTAAAGTACTTAACGCATCGGAACATTCTTGTCATTCTAATCCCTGTGGTCAAGGACGGAGCATCGTGAAGTTCTCGTCAAACAGGACAGATGCGACTGACGTCGTTGTGAGGGCTGGTGTTCAGAATGGTGAAAACGATGATGGTGATGCTGTTGCAAATGGTGCTGCTAAGAGGGCCGGTGGCTAAAGCCTGTGACATCTGAGAAAGGCCGCAGGACAAGAACTCCGGTCTAGTCTAGTGTTTAAACCTTTGCACAGGCAATCTTGCGACCATCTCGTAAAACCGCTTTGAAGCACGCGAGCTGACTGGCTTGCATCGAGTTTGAGGTTGCGTGCAACTGAACACGGCGAGTACTAGGCAGAGTGATCGGAATTGCTGTGGCAAGTAGAACTCTCACAAATCCGCTATTGCAAAGCCCCCTTCACTTGCCACATGCTGCATGGGTTGGTTTGCTGCTGCTGCGGCTGATTCTTCTGGTTTTACAGGGAGGACCAAGGGGAGAGGAAGTGTGTGCTCCAATCCTGCAGCGCTTGCTTGAAGATCTTCACCGTGCTCATGATCCTTGCAGCAACGGCAGCACAGGGCTTGGCCAAATTGGTTTCGGGGATTCGGGGTTGGGGCAAGGAAAGCCCAGCCGGTCACATGGATTGCAATCACGGGGGCATTGGTGGAGACGGGGGAATGACGAAAATCCTTGGAAGCTGTCCCTTCAACTTTTATCTTCTCGAACCTACACGTGTAAATTCATAACAACGAATATACTTGTGGATATGCACACAAAAGCAAGGTACATATGAAGGGTGCGTATGTGCGTATATATATATATATATGTATATATGCCAAGATAGCTACCTACCTACCTACCTACCTACCTACCTACCTACCTACATACATACATACAAACATACATACATACATACATACATACATTCATACATTCATACATTCATACATACACATACATACACACGCATACANNTACCTACCTACATACATACATACAAATTTACATCGGTCCATCGATGCAAAGGTACATAGGCGAAATGAACATACATACAGTCATTCATCGTCATTCATTTCCATATACATTGTCCATACAATCGCCTCCCTCTTTTTTGTGCAAACCCTTTCCCCCGTCTGCCCCCATCATTACATTCGGCGATAATACAAGTGAGTTTATTGTCATTTTTTCCCTTCCGTCCCATGTCTTAGTGTTTCATTCTAAACCCTTCATTTGGCAGGCCACGTACCCGGCAGTCCTACTCAGATTGCTGCTGCCTGCACAGTGCCCCTGCAATCCCTGCCCCCTACGTCCTGCGGCTCGTGCGACATGCAGTCCCTTTGCAGCCCCACGTCACTACTGTATGGCCCGCAGTCCTACGTTCCTTCGGCCCTTGCAGTTCCCGTGGTCTGAAGAGAGTTTTAGGAATGGGAATGCTTGGGAAAGGAGCTCAACTCACGCTTTCTAGTACACGCTCACTCTCGCAAAGGTAGGACTCCGAATGCTGTAATCCTTATTGTAAACTCTATGAGAGAGAGAGAGAGAGAGAGGGAGACAGGCGATACAGATTAAGCAGTTCACTATATGGTCTGCATTTAAGCGACCCCAACAAAAACCAATCTCCGGGTGCACCCTACTATTTCAGACTGTACAAACCGGGAGAAGGAGGTGAATGAGGTGATTATATGTATATTTTATTTTTGCACTAATACAGGACATGCTTGGCCCTGTCTGAGGCTGCGACATGCACGGGATAGTTGCTTGGATTGACTCATCGAACCTGCTTGGCTTCGTGTTTGCTCATATCGTCGGTCATGCTCGATGTAGCTCCCTCTGCAAGGGCACGCTCCTTAGGACCTCCAGGATTTTGGCTGTGTATCAGCGTGATGCTAAGTCGAGGCTGCGCATCATCACCTCAATAAGCCATGAAACTCCAAATTGATGGAGCAAAACATCTGGGCTGCGATGAGTTCTACAACCCGGAGTCAGACGGTTGTCTTCGGACTAAGGACCCCAGCCTTCGGCTTTTCTGACTGATCCCCAAGACCGGGGCACCAAGTGCGATGCCCCCGAAGTTCCCGCAAACATGACTCGCGCAAGCAATGTACCCTTCAACGAAGAGAAGTGACCTGGTGCTTTCCCCAATCTTGCCACGGTGAGTCTGTGTAAACCAAGCTAAACCCTATAAACCCTGAACATTCATCACTTCCGAGGGTCAGGCGCCGCGAAGAAGTAGCTGGCAATTGTCCGAAAGATCTGGGAGATGGATTCGTCCTGCGAACAATCTCCACGATCACACCCGGCACTCTTGTAGAGTTGAAGGTGGCAGGGTTGATCGGGGCCTCCAGAGTGGGTTTGGCACTCCTTCAGACTACTCTGCAAGGAAAGACAGATTTACCCGATAGTTCTATCACTAGCAGCAACGCTAGCACTGATACTGACCTGGCTATCAAATTACAAGCCAAGCAGAGCAACAGTTTCTTTGGTAGCATGGCGGCTTCTTCGACATCAGGGGTTGATTTTGAGGTGCTAGGCACGAGCCTACTATGCAAATTCTGGGCTCGGGTCCCCACTCAGAAAGCACCACCAAAGAACAACTCTCAAAACGCTCTGGCCTGGAGGTCCGAGTAAGCCAGTACCTGGATCGATCCAAGGAGTTTCGGCCGGGGGTAAGGGAAGCATGTCTGGGAAGTGTAAGACATGGTAAGACATAGCCAGGCCAGCACCAACAACCCCTCAGTCCTGTGCAGCCACCCAGCAACAGTCCACTCGGGAGAACAAACTCAGATTCCGACATTGTAATGGCGTTTCAGACCTTGGCTGTCTCAATTGCGTAGTACTCCTTGACAAGGCATGGCGTAGAGGCAACGGTACTCGATTTAGGGGCTTGCAATATACGGTTGACTGACGGAAGCAACATCTGAACGGACTCCACATGTCGGTCGCTCTGAGGCCCCAGGCGCTCGGTGATGAATGTGCCTCGGATGTAGTGGTGCAGTGCCGGAGAAAGGAAGTTGACCAGGGCCCCTTGACGTCTTGGAGAAGTTTGTCGCTCCGGCGACTAGCTTACGGGTAAACACCGAAGTCATCAACACACACTTTCATAAAGTGGATTCCACATTTGGTGTGCACAAGAAGTCACAAAATATGCTCTTGCCCCCATGTAGCCGCTCCGTATGCGCAAGGGCATGGGCTTACAGTACCAAAAAATTGCGCATCTGCTGCCGATCCATCATGACACATCAAGGCTTTGAGAGGCTTCTGGTTCTACTGGTGGTAAGTGTCGCCTACGACCATGAAAGTAAACTCATTCGGCAACCGCATTCCCTCCTGTACGAGATTACAAGTTCCAAGCTACTCTGCCCCAAACCGCGACTGACGGAAAGCCTGGTCGATCCTAACCCGGGCAGCGAGCATCTAATTAGTCCGAAGAGCTCGCCTCAAATCCCCAACCCCCACCCTCACCAACCGGCAGAGACAGCCTGTGATTACACCATGCCCAAATCTGGCCAAGCAGCGACCACCGCCGGGAGGCCCCATAGCAGATGCCATGATCTTAGTCATAAGGTGCTAGGAAGCTTCTTCGATGTAGTGCACAGAGCGCAGTTCAAAGCATTCCAGGGTAAGGCATGAGGGGTTCAGCCGCTGCAGCAGTGCAGGGTGGGCGGTTTGGTCTGTGTTACAGACCAGGTTCGTGGTCCAAGCTCACTTGTGTCGAATCGGTTCGTTTCAGCTACAAGTACCTTTCTGAATCAGAGTGGTGTTGCACCTCCGGTCGCGAGTAGCCACCTTTCGGGCGAGGACCTGCAACCACCCATCATGACGGAGACTTGTCCTTGTCTCGGGAATGGGGTGTGGGGGTGCTATCGAGATTTCATTCCGAGTACTTGAAGCCCTGCCCGAAAGTACCCATGTAGGGTTGGAGCAAGTATCCGTCCAACCATGCTCCAAGCAGTCAGTCCCGCACCATATCGGTAATGTCGAACTTCTTGAGCTCTTTCCTGTAGGCAATGGGCTTGCTGAGTGACGCGTCCACAGCTTGCCTTCGCTTTTACTGCGGGCCTTGTCCTCATCACAATTTGGGCATAACTTGGTTTAGGGCGTGGCTTCCTGGATGCAAGGAACTGACTCATGGGTGTCCTGTTGTACCACCCGCCGTGGTCATGCCACTGCCGAAGCCTCACAGCTGCTGTACTTCTGTGTTCGAGTCAGTCACCGAAGGATGCATCATTGCCATATGGCGATTGTGCTTCTGAACCTACAGTTGCAACTAAGCCTGCGGCAGTTCGATGGGCGGCTGTGCACCGTAGTACTCTTTCTGAGGCATGTTCCTGCACTTCGGGTGGACGCAAGCCTCTGGGCTTTGAGCTTTCTATTGTCTGGTTCAAGAGTAGCTGGAATAGCTTGCGTATGCGGGCGCCTGCAGATCAAGTTGCGATCCCTCGATTCCAATCTGAATTCATGACAGTAACAGTACCGAGCTCGACGACTCAAGGCAAACACACACGACCAAATCTGTGGTTTCTCGACCACAATCCATCTACTCCACCACTCCTACAAGGAGTGACCTGCCAAACATGCCAAAGGCACAGATCATCCACGAAGAGGACCATCTTTTTGCCGGCCGGTGGGCCGTAGACTCCACGGCGCCTCGGAATCACCCACCGTACTTACGCTTCAAGTCCCGAGACTACACCCTGCCGACTCGATTGGTGCATGGCTTCGGAAAGAAGCGGTTTATGCATCGTACGACCCCGCCTCTTCTCCAGCTTGCTGTCGATCAGGTCTTGGAACCTTCGGAATATTGAGCTGTGCGGCAGTCACCGTAAAACTTTCCGATTGTGCGTCAAAGGCCTTGACTGGCAATGCTTCAGCAACTGAGATCACAGCTGGTTGACATGCGTCTGGGCCTTGTCATGAACAAGCTCTCGCTTGACCCAACTGCAGCCGGCGTGAGACCGGTGTTGCCAATTGACACTGGGATACTACGACAGCGGCTTTGCATCGCTTTTGAGCGCATATCCGTGCTGCGTGGGCCCAGTGCAAAGCGGTCGGATCGACGGATTGCTGTGAGCACCAAGAGCTTCACAATCTACGAGAAACCCCTCCATGCAAACTCATGTGGAGATTTCTCATGCCACATCCAGCTTGGACACAGACCGAGAAGTTCACGAAGACGCCTGCCGGCGACGTGCGGCGTGCTGGTTTCGAAGCTAACGCCACCATCCCGAGAATAAGAAACAGCTCCACAGACCGGCCTTGAAAGTGCTCTGGCGCCTGCTTCTGCAACCACATGGAGATGTTCACACCTGGTTGCCAAGACTCAGCAGCCGGATAAGCCAGGCTCCGCAGCGTTACCAACTGCACATGCGACTGTGAGGAACTTTTGACGGAGTGGAGCCGGACTGCACCCTAAACTGTAATCCCTGATATCCTTGAACCCGCAACCCCTAGTGCCCGGCCGCAGTTTCGTGCAATCCGCTTGGGGCGCGGCTCTTGCCAGTTCCCGTGGGGCCGGGGCACAGGACGTGCTTGTCGTGGGTGATCAGAATCCTTACTTTCTCGTTGCTACCTATTTCCTTGATAGCAGTCCTTGACGAGGCCTGCTGCTTTCAGTATACTGCTTACGTCTTGATGCGACATCATGCTGAACAGTGATGCTGCGAATCTTATTTTGCTTATCAACTTTCATGAGTCTTCGGTGTCAAAATGACTTTGGCAAACGCCGGTATCCTGCTAGGGACCAAGCATCACGCGATGGCATGCGGTGCTATGCAATACAGAACCCTGTCAAGCAACAGGGATCAGGACTTACCTTTCTCTGTGTAACTTTGTAAGTGCTTCAATGTAAGACGTGTAAAACACGTATCCTGCTACCCGCGCATGAAGTGGATACATACAGTCACGTACACACTTGTGTAATTCTGTTGTCACAGTTGTCGTATTTCATATGGTGCTACACTTCTTCAAGCAGTCCCTCGCTGCACAATTCGTCCGAAGTGTATTGGTGCAAGCTGTCATGTGTTGGGAAAGCATCCAAGGCAGTATACTGCTGCAGACTGCTGGCAACTGAGCACGTAGCTGGAAGGCGTAGACTAAGCGGACAGAGTCCACAGACGGAACCACCTGCCACAAGCTGGGCAACTGTTTTCAAGTTCAGACTGGAACAGTGAGGCAATCTACATCCAGGGAGGGGGTTAAGAGGTTTTCCCGATCTGTATAGCTAACTCTTTAACTACATCTCTACCTGTGTCTGCATCTATATATCCATACTATTCATGCATACGTAAGCGTGGATACAATTACATATAAATACAGGTATAGACATATTATTCGAGTATATGTATATTTACCACATAGACATACACATAAGTTGGAACGGGTTGTTGCTGGAGAACTGAACATGCAAACTCCATATTTGGGCACTCTTCTCAAGCTCGTCGGGCAAACGATCTCGTCGTACTGTGCAGCGCGGGGAATCTCGAAGGCAGGGATAGTCTCCATCCTGGCGCTTTCAAACCGAACTCATCGATTTTTAGGGGCGGCGGGACGGGCTTCCGCTCGCTGTGACAGACCACGTTTACACAAGAATCGGTTTGCATCCTCAGGCACTCCGCTAAACCAATATCGATCCAAGACAGACGCGTGATCCATGGGCAGTTCAATCGGTCTGCTTTCCTCAATCGCCGCAAGTCAATCTCCAGCTGCACAAGCCATCTAGTCTTCGAGTTATGAAGGGCTGGCCCGCTTCAAACGCGGGATCCCTCCACGGTTAACACGCATACATACTAGATACATACATACAGACAGACAGACAGACAGAAAGAAAGACACCTGTATTTGTTCTACATGTACGTGTATATGACATGTATATGTATATGTGCATACACATATAACATGATGTCTAGGAGCCTATACTTATCTACATACGCACACATCATCCCGTACTACAGGATCTGCTCCTGTCACGCATCTATATGACATGCAGATGGACAGATAGATAGTCTAAGGCCGATGCCAGGGAACCCACTGGCTCTTCTGAATGTCGTAGAAGTAATCGTAGATGAATGCGCCGAAATCCAGGCCGGCCAGCCTCAGGTGCAATGTTCTCGCGAGTAGCTTACATGCATTGTAAGTACCTATATATGCTTATGTTGTAGACCGCCACATGCACGATAACATGCATGCATGCATGCAACATCTAGATGTCTATATACGCACGTACATACATGCGGACAGACGCTTTACATATATACCAGTACATACATATGCAACAGGCAGACAGGCAGTGCATCCATGCATGCATTTACTTGCATACCTGCTGCTAAGATAGGCAGCAAAACTACTTACACAGTAATGCGAATCTATTGCATGATTACTTGCTCATGCTCACTCGTTCTCTACGTGCGCTTGCACCTATCTGTTTAAATTATAAGCACGAGGCAAACACCAATGCTCCATCGATGCATCCAGTGTTCTACGTGCGCTTGTACCTATCTATTTCTGGTATAAGCACGAGGCAAGGGCCAATACTCTGCTGATCCAATTAGGGAGAATGTTGTCGATTGCCCTCTGAGAATATCGAAACTGGAAGTGCGTGTGCAGCAGGCCCGAAAGCTCTGTCGTTTCATTATTGCCGTCCCTGACCGGAGCCACATCTACTGCCGAAACACCCACTTGGCGGCTTGGCTCTCAGGTGTTGCTCGATGCTTCTCTTCAGGAAAGCCCTAATAAAAAGAGCTGCTGCAGCCCACAATTGAAATGAGAGAACTACACTGCTATCTTCTCTTCTACGTTTACATCCAAGAGGCTTGATACCATCCTGGACGGGCGGCAGTTCCACGTTCATGCCCTGCAAATCAAATTGCGAAGTGGGTGGGGGGGGGTTCAACTCCCGAGCGGCAAGCATTGAGGATCTCAGCCATGAGCACCCTTGACGGCTAATAGATGTCGCACTGACTGAGCAATACATACTTGCGGACTAGGCCGGGCGACGGCGGTGGTTCTGCAACTCGGGTATCACGGCCTGGACCTCGAGTTGGAGCCGCTCGTGCTTCTCCTGAGAGCGTGGCTGACACAAACAGGGCCAAAACGAGGATCTCAGCAAAGGGAAGTGGAAGGGCGTCCTGTGATTTGAACGTGTTTCTATGCCAGACAGCTCCACGGACTTCGAGCCCGCATGTGGTGTCGCAAGAAGAAACTGGCAGCTTGGAATATGATGGCAAGTACGAGGGCTCCACCAACACTTGCATTGTCGCGGGAATAGCTGCCATCTAATTCGAGGCCTCTCTTGATTCTCCAACGTCCCCCCTAACCGCCATGTGTGGTTGAGGGGATTAGTTTAGATCGGTTGCATGGGCCTTGGAGTTTTGGCTTACAGGAGTCTCACGCCCGCAAACCCCAACCCATCGGCCGACTCAGAACAAGAAAAGAGTCCTCATTCAAAATGGCCCAGATCAGCTTGGAGAAAGCCGGCCGTGTGGAACCTTCGCATGTGGCCCCCACGGACCAGACCTAGGCAAGTTTGGAGGACTAGAATGAACATGACCACCCTAATCATAATGCTCGCAGAATGAGACGAACTCGTCACTACAAGGAATTTCTAAAGTCATGCCAACCGAAGGAACAGCTCCAGCAGCAAAGAACAGCAAGCACCACTGCGACCATCATATCCAGAAATGCTGCGGTGCAACCTAGATCAAGAAATTGCAGACACCGAACAGACCTCACAAATTTGAAAGTTCGAAAAGATTCGGGGTCCGTAGCATGGGACGTTTAGAGGAGGGGTTGTACGTCCGCCCAGCCGTCCGCAAAAGGCTGTCCATCAGTTCTTCAAGCCTTCGGTGACAACTTTGGCTAAGTGCGCAGCCATCGCGAAGAAGAACAAAGGAGTGATGTGGGACACGAACTCGGCGACCTCGCACCGTGGCGGCTTTGCAGCCGCACGTCGCCAAGCCTAAAAACCGTGCCTCACTAAAGCTGCAAACCCTGCAGCGGTTAGCCGTTCTTGAGAGCGGCAAGCATGCAGGTCAGGAGAAAACGGCTTGTGCCCGAGATCTCAGGTGCCCAAAGACTTATACAGCAGATACGAAAACCATGCCCATGGCCCATGGCTTTGTCGCCTCCTCCTTGAAGGCAGCAGCCGGCCGCAGCTCCGTAGGCTGGAAGGGCGCAAAGTAGCAGTCAAGCCTGGGATGAGAGCAGTGCTATGTGGTGACTGATATCGACTACAGCTGCAGCGTGCTAGGTACTCTTTGGAAAACCATGGCAGCAGCGAAAACAGCAACAGCAGCAACAATGCCACTGCTGGTACTGCGGCACGTCTTGAAGTACTGTACTTGCGAGGAGGACGACGACGATGACTACCACCCCCACTATGACTATAATTACTAGGCTTCTGCTGCTCCTGCTCGTAGTCCAAGTCCGCTTCCAATTATTGTAGTGCTAGCCTAGTCCTAATCCTAGCCTGAGTCCTAGTGCTACTCTCCTGCTAGGCTACCTCTACTTCTTCTGCAGCTACTACTTCTTCATCTTCTTCCACTGCTATCTCTGCTACTACTGCTGCTGCCGCTACTGCTGCTGCTGATGCCGCTGCTACTACTACTGCTGGATTTCGACGTGGAGTCGGTCACTCAGGCCAGCACATCCGGAACAAGGACTGCACCAGATTCGTGTCTTGCGTCTGCACCACCTAGCAATAGGGCATAGGGGATTGTAAGTTGGCAGCTCAACGCTGGTAGTTTGTAAATCTGCCTCGGCTTCTCAGGTTTGCACAGCTGCCAGCTGAAGCGAAAGAGAAACTCCAGTGAGTTACACTATGCAAGCATGGAGGTTCAGCTAAGGCAGGCCTCCTTGCAGCACTTGCGGACATAGGCCACGCTGGCCGGGAGAAGCGCCTGACACACTCTGAAAGATGATGCCGCGTTCACAACCTAATTTTCGGGATGATCAAAAGCAATAAAACCCTGATTAAGGACCCTTCGCCACGCATGGAAATGCTACACAACATGCTGACGAAGACTGACTGCCTGAACAAACCAAACATGGAACAAGGAACAACCAGATTATGCAGACAGCTGACAGTGCGCAGAACGACATTTGCTTGATTGCAGAACTGCTCTTTGTCGAGAAGCTGCATTTGTCAGCGCGCCCGAAGCTCCTACTCGGACACTGAACGACTATGTGACAAGAAGGGGTCGCCTCGGAGTACTTCCGCAATCGTCGCTCGATATCTGGCCTTTGCACAGGATCCGTGCTCCACAAACAGTGGTGATGCGTATCAGAATATGGAAGCCTCAAAGGTGGGGTGGGGCCAAGGGCCTTGGAGACAGGTCAAGACTGTCGCGGTGGATGACTACAGATAGCGCTGTCATGCACGAGGAATCCTTCAACAGAACAGCGGTTTTGGTTGCTACCACGTCGGCTGAAGTCGTGAGACAACTAAGAATGTAACACCCCCAGATCAAAGCTTGAACATCCCAACTACTATGCCGGAAACAGCTGGGTTGGTCAGGCGCTGGGTCTAGATGCCGCAACCACACCGGTAGAAAACACAGGTTGGGCTTGGCTTCGCAACATCTCCTACTCACTTCAACACTTCTTGAGAACAAGGAAAATATCTCCACAAATTCTGGCTGAACAACGTCACGAACAAGCTGACAACAGATGTTCAAAGACCTGTAAAGCCCTGCTCTGGCTGGATCCGCAGCCTAGACAAGGTGTCTACGGACAGTCTGTGTTCCGCCGCTCTGACTTTGGCCTGGATGTTTTTCCGAGGCTCCAGAAAGGGCATGAGAAGAGATTTACGAGTCCACAGAAAGGCCTCCCAGATCTTGAACGATCAAAGAACCGCACTGCCTTGCACAGCTTTGGAAGACTGCCTGGGGCCCTATCACAGCTAAAGCTCAGAACCCGTCGCCAGCGCTCCAAACTTTGTGGAGCGTGGAAGTCACTGGCTTGCCCCGCAAGCCCTCTCTTCGGTCGTGCGCTGTCACATCTCTTCTCCGCCGCTGCCTTGGGGTTGGAACTGGCCGAAAGGCACCTCGCTCTCGAAGGACGGTATCACAGTGTCGCTGCCGACGGTCCTCATGACGAGCTCAAGCCAGCCAGCTCGTACATGCAAATCGCAGAAGCGTGGGCGAGATCCATCGTCCTGGCCGCGGCATATTCTGATCGTGGTCATTGAACATCGACATGAACAAGTATTCAGCATTCGACATGTAGAAAAACAGCGTGACCGATCACGTGTCATGCCACAACTTGCAGAGCTCAGGTGGGGGTCGGCACTTGCAAGAGAGCGTCCCCTCCAGGTGGTGAGGGATACCAACCCAAGAGACGGCATCTCCCAGGGAAGCCTCGCGACTATGACACTGCTTCGAATCAGGCTGGACCGGGTGGATCTACGCTGTCGGCTTTGGGGAAGCTGAATATTGTGGACGTGCTGAATCCAAAGGTCCGGTCTGATGATCTCCCAGATTGAACCATTCTGGGCCTTAGCTTCCGTGTGGGGTCTGGAGCCGGGCCTGTGAGCACCTTTGTTTCGGTTCTTCCGCCCTTGCCCTTCTGCGGTAAGATGAAGCTGGATGCCTCTTGTCAACAAGAGTGATCAACTGATGCAGCCCGCTGGCCTGGTGGTCTTGGCAGCCAAGCAGGAGGGCCCAATTCCTGGCTTCTGCCGGCTGCGCCTGCATCGAAAGGGCTCCGCGCTTTGTGGCTTTCTCGCTCACACAGCCTGGTTCACCGCAAGGTATATAGCTTCTTCAGAGAAAACTAAAAGGAACACTACATATGTCTTCTGCAAGTCAATACTGTATACTTCCAGCTTTGAATCTCATGGGCGCAGCCTTCACATCCGGCACGGAGGGCGACTCGCTGAAGGCATAAAGCTCCAGGCCCTTACCACTCTCCAGCTCTGAGCACACGGCGCCTCCAGGGGGGCCATCAGGAGGGCTCCAAGGGTCGCTGCGCTTGGAAGTTCATAAAACATACTGTGTATAGGGCTTGACAGTTTGGGGTTTAGCGGCTGTCGGGTTTCGGACTTCGGGGCTGGCGGAGTTGTTGGCTTCCCTCTCTGCCGCAAACAAGGTCAAGGCATGTGGCTTTCAAGGCACACGGTGCAAGGGCTAAGGATTGTGAGCTTAAGGGTTACGCCTGATGTTAACCTCGTTTGAACAAATCCCCCCCTCGATTATAGAACTCGATCCCCGGAACTTAAATTATCAAACCCCTCAATTATAAATCTCAATCCCGGGAACGCAATCATCCCATCCAGGATTCCTAAAAGAACACTTGAGGCTCTTTTGTCAGCCCTCTCAGAGTCGCAGAGAGAGAGTCAGCGAGCGTAGTAACGTAGTAGTACTGGGACCCCACCTCAATAGTCAATCCCCCTGGCCTCGGCCTGAAAGCAATCGAGGGGGGGTTTATTAAAATGAAGTCAACATTCGACTGCACGACATTTCATGTGCGACGAGGCACTTAAGGACTCTGCCACGTGAAAGTCCAAGTGATAGGCCCAGCCCATGGAGACCCGGAACGCACGGCCGTCCATGTAGGCCCATGCGCCCTTCCAAAGGAAAGGAGTGGGCTTTTGTTGGGCTTGCAAGGGTTGTAGAGGGGTCGTGGAGTTTCGGGACTTGCAACACCGAGGGCTCACACCACGCTCTGGTAAGCCTGCGTATTCAATGAAACTGCTGCCGCTCTTCTTGTTGAGAATCCGGCCGACACTGATTCCAGACAAACACACCACTTGTGTCTATCGAGTCTAGTTGAATTCTGCAGGAGCTTCTGTTGGGTGCAGTGAACAGGCCCTCACCTACAGGAAGGTTGATCGTGCACGGGTAAGGATTGATACGGCCTAAAATCATGACTTCTCCAGTTTACCTGAGAACTGACTTGTCACATAGGAGAAGGTTGCGGGGCATCTAGACCCGTATGTATGCCACCACAAATGAACAGACAGGTCCCAGGGCAGACGACGGCATGGCATGGGCGCGAAGCAGAAGGACTGCCCACTTCAAAACCTTACTTGGCAGCAACCCTTGAGCCCGGCACTGAGCCTCTGAGAGCACCACGGAGTCGATCCCGAAGTGGAAGGCTGTGCGCAAAATTTGCCCCAAGCTGTGGCTGGAACTGACCTTCAGCATTCCGGCGTTCAAACTACTAGTTGCTAGGATGCGACTGGCTGGAAGTGCAAAAATACAAGATTGTAGGGACTCGGGGTGCCAAAAACCGCGTCTGCCCAGAATTCATGCAACAGAGTTCAGTAAGCAAGGCGAGGTGGCCATTGCACACAGAAATGTTAGTCAGCGGGTTTCGATTCTTGATGCAAGAAGAAAACTAGCAATCGTTTGTCTATACATTGAACCGAAAAATACCCATGCGGCGCCTGGTCGATCACCAAGAAAGGTGGCGACAGGTCATCCAAGCACTTTGACATGGGATACGCCACGACGAAGCGGCAAAAGTTCTTCCTGGGGCTTACCACGTATCGAACAGCACTGAGACTGAACCCAGCCGAAGTGTGCATCACCCCTGTGATTCCTTTTGGCTTTGGGAGTGGCACACTAAGTCTGAGCTTCTGCCTCTGTAATCTAAGGCATCTTCGATCTGCAAGTTGTTCTGGATCAGCGTTCACCTGGAGGTATTAACAGCAGAACCCATAAGACGCGCGAGTTACTGCAAAAGATCCCCAAATTTCCCCAAAGTTATTGCACTCCTTCAGAGCAACCCTTGAATCCACAGCTTAGGGTTGGGACCGGTGAGGATTATGCCCATTGGGCTGGCCATGCCAGCCTGCCCTTGCCATGCAACGCACGCCAAACTGACAAGCTACTTTTGCGCAAGAGAAAAGTAAATTCAAATCGAAATTTGTGTCCGGATTGGATCGGCCGAGCTTCCGGGATCCCTTCAGCGCCAGCCCGGCATCGATCAGGTTTCCTCGTGCCTTGAAGACTGACTCCGAGCAGCGCAGCGATAGCCTATGTGCAGGGTGCTTAGGGCCCTTGCGGTTCGGATCTTGGGGTCCATAATAGGTTTTCGGCGAGAAGGTTCTCAGGGACGACCACGATGTGCCGTGAAACATGGGATTTCACAAACGCAGGCCCAAACAGCTCGAAGCACCTTCTGTGCTCTGTTGAATTCCGGGGGCTGCCAAACACAGCTACTAGAGATGCTGCGATCTCGAGTTTGAAACAGCTCAGGGTGTCAACTGACTGATGAACATGCTTGGGGCTAATCTTTCTCATGTGGCGTTTCATCACTCCTTCTCTTGTAGGCTCCTGCACATTGGAGCCACAATACAACACCGGGAATTCCGGAGTCCCTGCACTTTGACGAAGGTCACCCGGGCTCGGAAGACCGCGTGGGCCTGCGATGCACAACAAAATGTCGGTCAACCGGCTTGGAACCTGTAGCTTTTTAGCTGCTAGCCCAAAGCCCGAAGCCCGAAGCCGGTTCAAACCTGAGCTTCTCGAAAGGAGCCGGGGGGCTTTGTCTCGGCTTCCGAAGCCGACGGTGGGAGCAGCACGCTGCCGACTGTGACCCGGCGGCCGAGGTCCTCGCTTGATAAGTAGTTAGGCGGCTGCACAGCTCAGTGACTATGAGGAGACAATAACGATGTTGAAATGCTGACCTTCCATGAAGGTGACGGTTATTATAAAGTAATATAAGGATGGCGATGCGCATGATACACGTTATGACTCTGAGCATCAAGATGACGGCAATAATGGTGCAGACATGGACTTGAAACCTGGGGCCCTGGGGTCGTGCCATCTGTGGGCAATTTGCACGACACTGAAGAGGCAAGAACGACAGGAAGCGGTAGCCGCGGTGTGTCGCAATTCGTAGCAGTCGGCAGTGCTGGATGGCCCAAGTAGCGGCAGCAGAGTCGCGACAGTCCGTCTTTACTGATGTCAACAGCGCCAGTCAACAATTTCAGGTTCAATTGTATACGTCGTCTAACCAGAAGAAGTTCAAGAGCACGAACCCACATCCACAGTCAGCAAGAAAAAGGACACTGAAGTATTCCAGGAAAGGCACCTGAAGGAATAGCACACTCGGATTGTCCGGCTCATTACTTATACTCGGTCTCAGCTACTCTATTCCACTGATATACATGCTGCATGAAAATGTGAATGTTCATGCTACTGGGTTTGTCTTCCACACAAACATGCACCACACGGCCACATTGACATCTACAGGTGTGTGAAGCTCTCCCAAACCTGTACACACCGTCCCTGAAACCTGTATCCTCGAGGATTCCCTAGACACATATTTACGACAGAAGGTCCGAGGAGTCCTTGGCCTGGCTCAGCCGCTCCAGACCTCAGAGACGGAATGTGGTTGTCCGGGTTAGGGAATGTCGCGATCGTTTACGTCGGCGGTGTATATCATGTGTTCCTGTTCTTGGCCTGAGACAAGTTCATGCTGCGGACAGCGTTCGACAAGATGGGGTTGACTAGACACAGCCAGCGCGACTGGAAGTCATGTTTGCTGACTAACTGGAATTGTAGCCAGGATGTGCATCGCTTGTAGGCATTCTTCTTCAAGAGCGAAAGCCGCTACAACAACGTGGATACCGCTTCGAAGCTCTTTTTAGAAGCCACGATGTCTGTGAAATACAAGCTGGCTTGGTCCGCGATATAGCGGCTAGAGTGTAGCGGCAGTGCGTCTGCTATACCTACTGTGTGTTCAAACTTGATGGTAAGAGCTTGCATTCTGCACCTGCTTTCCCATTAGTTGGGATGGCTTCATAATCCGTCCTTGCCGTGTCGCAAGCCCAGCTGTAGTGCACGTCGCACTTGCAGGGCGTGTCCAGAGCTAGGCCTTGCTCCGAGAGGGCCTTCTCCCGCAGCTCAGATTCCTGCGCTCCAGACTGAGACTTTACATGACTTTACGTAGGCACTCTTTAGGCACTCTTTGGTTCTAGGGTGTCCGGAGTTGCGAAGCTGAACACCAATGAAGCCAAGGTTCATACTGGACCTGCCCTTTCTGTGTGACCACATCAGGCCGGTAGGGGGACAGGCGAAGGTCGGATTTGTAGTCCTCTGCGGGCAGGACGGAAGCTGCCCCTTCTGAGGCTTCTGCGCGTTGTCTTGAAGCACCATACGCTCTTCCGAATCTTCCTTATCAGGTCTTCTTTCTAGCATTACTCCTAGTTTTACCAACAAATACTTCGGTTAAGCAGAACTATAAACATCACCCTTGCATTGCTTTAGCCTTCAGGGGAATGAACGACATCACCAGCTGCCAGGGCACGACGAGGGCTGCGCAAGGCAGCCAGAAAGCCGAGTGCCAAGCAGGGTGAGGTACCAAGGTCTAGGTTGCGCCCGCCAGGAGCAGACTCTGTGCCAAAGAGTTCCGATGGGCACTGGCACTGAGGCCTGCTGAGGCAGGAACCCGTGACATAAAGACGGGTTTGCATCGATTTTGCGCAGTCAGCCCAGGCTGTCTGCCAGCACAGGGAGCAGATGCGCCCATATCACGGCTCTGCACTCCTCGAAACAGAGCCTTGCTACAGTTGCCAGATGCTTGGGCAGGCCGAATGCTGCGAGCTTAAACTCTAAAGGGACCGGTTCTGCTTGAGGCCGCAACTTGACAAAAATGCAGAATTACCGGTACCTGCCACTGTTCTGGATGATGGTCTGAGCCTGGTTAGCTGTGCTAAATTATCTGGGAGCCTTCGAGAGGCGAGTCTAGACACATGCGAGTTCCGGCGCAGGGAGCATGTAGCAACATCTACCAGAATCTACAAAAAAGCACAAAGAGCAGCCTGGCTAGATCTACGATCCTGACATGCTTCGACACCGATCACTCCGCAACCTCTACACTCTAAACCGCCTTTTCAACCTTAAACCTTTTCTGAAGACCCTCTTGGCCCTACGATCCGGACCTTAAACATCAATGGGGCCCGCACTGAAAGTTGAAAGTCTCCGGCAGAGCGGCGAGCCAGGAGTCAAAGAGAGGCTGGAAGCCTGTCCATGGCGGAGAGCAAAGTTCGCTTAGTTTGGAGTCGAGGGGTAAATTCTGGTTTCGATGACAGGGGATTTCAGTGAGGCTGTGGGTGTAGCGGCTCAGGATTTATACGTTTGAATGCTGGATGTTGAGTGCTTTGTTGCAGGCTCTTTTAGGGTCACTGCCAGTCGGAATTTGAGGATGTGGGATTCGAAAACCGCACACACACAGTCGTTGCTAGCAGTCGGTTGCTTGGATACAGTGTTGTCGGTTCGCTGTGCTCGTTCAAAGCATCTCGTTTCACTGAGGTGGGAGGTTTGTGTGATGCTGCCTTAATATGCTGCCCCACTCGAGCCCTCGAGCAACAATTCTAAACTCACAAAGGCCACTACTAAAGCCATGAACCACCTCCTCTTCATCCGACTGAGTCCCTTTGCCGGCCTAAGCTCTCCGGTTCCATGTAGATCATGCCTTGGCTAAACAGCGGCGAAGCACTGGTGGCTGGAGCTGGGAGAATTCCATTGAGAATGAGCTCTAGTTTCGGTTGCCACTGCATGATTGGGTTTGTCGACTCCGGAACCCAACAAGCGCTGCGGGTCCCAGGCAAAAGAACGCTTGGACACTTGCAGTATGCTTCTGGCAAACACGCGGATAAGCGCCAATGCGTCTAAGCTGCCGCAGCGAGAGACTGTAGCAGGAGAAGCCACTTCCAAGTCCTCCACAAGTGGAGGGTGCAGACTGATCTTCAGCAGGCTTGGCTTCCCATGCAGGGTTTAGGGTCGAGGGGCCTTCTGAGGACTCTGCGACTTTCGGATTATACTGTGTGCTCTTACTTCCTGACTGCGTCGTCTCATTCGCAATTCAATGCTCTGCTGGTGTCGGGCCTTCAATCCTTCAAGTGCGGTAAGATGTGAAACGACTTCACGTGCTGCAAGCCGTATATTGATATTTCATCCCTCTACAAAGCATGAAGCAGGAGCCCTGAATCCAAACCTGAACCCTAAGACGCCCTGCAAGCCATCAGCTATCCTCGACTTCGAACATCATGCGCATCTGTGGCGTGAGGGCCTCGAATTTTGGCGTTGGATTCTGGGTCGCGTCATCTGCTGGGCTTCTACTGTGCAGAATTGGTGAGTTGACGGGTTCAAGATGGTTCAAGCATGCGGCTCGAGGATGAAGAAGGCTCTGTTTACGGCCGTCATCACCAGGTCAACAACGAACGATTACAAAATTCCTCGAACCGCTCTAACAAGGGGGCATGCAAGGAGTTATGGAACATGTTTGTATGCATCTACAGCTGGAGCAACCTATATTCGCCTACTCGACTGGCTGATTTCGCATGCTTTGGGCTTTGGGTGTAGTGTAGCGAGTTTTGTCATTGTGCGCATTGGCCGGAGAAGTTCATAAAGGTAGTAGATGGTGGTAGGTTTAGCTGAGTACTCACACTCTCCTAACTCCTGTACAGATAATCTTGACAGTTAGCAACCCCAGATTAAGCCTTAAGCGAAACTAGCCGCGGACATCCTCATTTCGATGACTTGTAAGGATCCTGCAATAATCTCTCCACTCACCAGACAGAGCTTCTTGTTGTCGTCCAACACGGTGTTCATGCTCCTCAGTTGCTCTCTGCTGCAAAACTAGACACGCCGCATGTGACAGTTTGATTTCTGGGCACATCTGGGAATGCTGCATGAGTGCGCCATGCTCGAGTCATGCATCCCCCACGTCAGAAAATTCACACAAAGCGCGTGGCCTATCCCAAGGAATTACTTGATTCCGAGCTTCTCGATCCACAGTGCATCCACAGGTCCATCAAACATCACCTCGGTGGTGCGCAGCAAGACGCACGATTTGCCCAGACCATCCTGTTCAAGATTGTTCATGCCCTGGCTGGCTCTTTCCAGTCCGGCATCGTCGGCTTGCCGAGAGAGTCTCACTTCCTGAACGAGTCGCCTTACCTTCGCGGCACTGCGCTTGCAACACGGGAGTCTTGACCGACAATCCTCATGCAGTGTCTAGCTTCATAACCCCCTCACAACCCTGACCTACCAGGAACTTATCTAGGGCCTTAGATCAGCGACCGGATGACCGGAGCACAGCTCTCAGGCACGGGCCCAGTGATGGTCCGGCTGTCCGGCATCCCGAGTGGCATTGCGGATCTCCTACCCATGGTGCGGACCAAGGCTCGTACTAACAAAGAACGTCATCTTGAGATCGCTCATGTAGACACAAGAGTGGACGGAAGATTCTCCCGTTCCCAAACTATCGTCCTCGGCAGCGACGCCATCAGACCACTCGCGAGTGATCTCATCAAAGGAGCCGTAGAGCCTAGGCTTCAGGCCAAATCAGCGAAGAACGAATCCGAACCGTCAGTGCCAACGAAACACACTAAGCTTGTAAACACATTCGCATGTCGAAGCTGTTCAGAATCTCAGCTGCAGGCTGGTTCTGAGTAATGGACTTCGGGTTCAAGCAATGCACATGGACCTTTGGCAATGCTACACGGCCATCCCGAATCCCCGGACCTAAACAAATCTATCAACAGCCTCGATCTCCTCTATCATCAACTTTAGCTGCTACTGTAGCCGTCCAAGCTGCCACAAACCTGCGAGCCGCAACCCTCAGCCCCGAACACATAAGCTGTGATTCTATGCCTGGCCATCCCTGCGGCCGTGCCGTGTCCGACAAAGCGCGAATTCCCACAACGATTGGCTGAAGCTGTTTACCCGTATCCTCAACAGCCGCCGAAATAACGATTAGAATTCGTATCTTCGTGGAGGCATTAACTGTAGCAATGTCTCCGGGCAATGGCCCAACGTCGTGAGTCTTCTTAATGCGACAGCCGCCTCGTAGAATCCCAAATCCGACCCCATTACCCCTGACTCCCACACTCGCCTTCTGGTAAGCCGACGAATTCTTGGCGGGATCCATGAGGGACGTGCAAGCCCGCTGCAACCTGAAGGTGATTGAGGCTCTGGGCTTTACGATGCGTGCTCCTGAATGCTACTCCTGCTTGGGATCTGCAGTTAGGCATACGCAGTCTACACTAAACCCACTTGGACCGATGCACGGAAAGAGCTAGTACAGACAAGCAATGGCATAGATGTAGACAGAGGAGGAGCTAAATCAAACACAACAAGCAAGGTATACGTGCGCAGCTGCAACTGCCATTGCCATTGCTACTGCTGCTTCTGCGGGCGTGGCTGCGACTGCTCCTGCCACTGCGACTGCTGCTGCTACTGCTACACCACCACTTACCAGTACTAAAACCACTTTTGCTACCACTACTACCGGCATTACCACGCCAACTGCGACTACCTAGTGCTACTCGACTCCGCTTGCATCCGCAAGTTGTGTAACTGATGCAGCTCTATATATATATATATATGTATATATTATAATACACAACTTCAATCTGATCCGGCTGGTCCGTGGCAGAGAGCTACAAGCAACAAGGCCTTGCAGAACTCCTGAAGCCATTCTCGAAGTCCAGCTGGAATGCCCGCAACGACGAAATCCTAGAATTCCATTGATACCCCTAGAGCTCCTGAACCCTAAGTCCTGAAAGTCTTTTCACCAAAACCACCTAAGCCCCGAAACTCTTGAAGTTCGCATGCCTGGACCCCTTGCACTCCCAAACTTGAAGCCCTACAAAAACAAGAAGGCCGACCGAGGACGTAGCGAGCGGTAGCAACATGTCTTTCCACCACCGGTCGGGCCCACCAGCATCATGCCATGACCTCGTTTGATACAAGGCAAGAGCTCTGGAGAAGAGCTGCTGAGACGAGAAGGCAGCGAGCGTCGAGGCCCTGGCGCACTTGAATCATGTCCTCAGCCGGTGCTCACACTACATGCAAGCCGTGGAACCGCAAAGCTCGGACGCGAAGGCCGAGGAAGGTCAAGTCACTGGATGCCCAAAAGGACTTAAAGCCCAGTGTCGAAGAGCTCGAACTGCTTCTTCACAAAGTACGGGGTCGGTTGCAAGACTTGTGCCAAACCTTGCAAGCTGCCACGAGCTCAAAGCTTGGAGGCTTTAAAGGGGCTTCTGCAACCCAGTACCTAATTTCAGTAATCCCTTCCTGTACTCCTGGGCGGCTCTAAACAAAGAGCGCCACATCTATGCCAGGTGCATTTGCGTCTCAAAGACTCCATCTCAGGCCACAAATCCCTATGGGATCTGACACAAAAATCCACAAGGCTAGAACCTCCTGCCAGGAAAAACAGTCAGGTCTTCAGTGACATGCAGAACAGACTGAGCGTTCGACTCTCGGTGTGGCATGCCTCCTCGAGCCTGCTCGTTATATACTTCACCGGGGCATCTACCCTGTTGACCACAACAATTAGAAGAGCTGAGCAACAAGATGCAAAAAATCGCATGAAAACTGTTCACGAATCTTGCAACCTTCCACAAGAGAATCAACAACTCCATCTAAACACGCAGCAAGCCTGCCATAATCCATCTGGGGGCGCTCCACCTGGCCAGCTTTTCAAGACCCCCAAATTTGGGCTGCTCCCGATGCCAACAGGCAAGTCCAAGCCGATCCAGGGCTTGCAAGCCCGCTGCACGACTCTACCGAAAAAGCATCGCCACAAACTTTCCTGTTGGTGGATCGGGACTTGGGGCAACACCGGAGCTACAGGATGCTGCTGATGGAGTGAACGTCTCCGAAAGGTCCGAAACCAGCAGTACCAGCCACAACATGGCTTTCACCGGCAGACTTGCTTTTGCCTGCTCTCCCTCTCTCTCTCTCTCTCTCTCTCGCTCGCTATATCTCGCTGTTGCTTCTTCCTCTGCTGGGCTTGGGGTTGTTCGAGATTCCCCTGGCTCTAGGCCCCCCACATGTTATGGGGCTTTGAAGGGATCTGACAGTCTTCAGGCTCGTATTTCACTGTGTGCTACTTAGTCTGGACGAAAAGGCACGTCCCGCGAATGCCGCATCACATATGCACTAACTGACCGCATGATCCCTCTCTCTCCCTCACTCCCGCCCTCGCTGCACCCCAAGCTCATGCAACGGCGGCCCCGGGGAACAGGTCGGAGATGATGTTCTCGAAGAGCGGCAAATCGTCTTTGAGAAACTTCGGCACCTGGGCACAGGTGGGGGATTCCAGCTCAATGGTGAAGCACAACCAACAAGGCGAGAGAGGGGGAGCCTCAACCAAAGTTCACGAGCCAATGACTCCAATGTCAAAGTCCCATCGCAGGTGAACAGTCCATATTTGGATGAGGCATGTGCGTTGACGTCTCGCAGGGCTCGCAGAAGGATCTGCGACCTGAGCAGGTTCAAGCAAAGCCGCACATGTCTCCTGTGGTAAATAGAATCCACGTGGGGTGCCCATAGTTTCGGGGTTCTAGATTCGGATCGGCTGCCGGGGGTTTCGGATCAGAGGGGGACAGTTTCGGCGCCAAGTTTCGGCACAGCAGGAGTCAGTTTCGGGACGCGGGTCTGTCAGTTTCGGGGGCGATGTGGCCGGTTTCAGTCCGATTCTTGTAGGCCTGGGCCTCAAACTGACCATGGCGTGACACAGACCTGACCATGTCCTGATCCGAAACTGTAAGGGACCACGTTCCGAAACTCCGCCCCGAAATTCAGCACCGACACTAACCTCGAAAACCCTGAAACTCACAACTTCCGAATCCAGTTCAGTGCGAAGCATCGCTCTCAGTCTAGTCCAACTGGCTGAATGAGGCGACCACGGTGGATCCCATTTCCTACCCCGCCCCCCCCATCAGGCGATGGAAATGGAGGTGATCCCAGATAATCATCCTTATAGGCGATGGCAATGGATCCCATTGATAAACCCTTCCCCTCAGTCGCGGTTGATCCCGTCTCTTGAACCCGCCATGCACGCTCATTAGGATCGTGGTGCATCCCTGGTGTTAACCCAGCGCTCCGTCGCAGGATCGCATTCCTTAAACCTTAAACCTGCCCCCTCGGCGGTGGACCCCATTTCCTGAAAGCTGGAAGATATAGGGCCACCAAAGAAAGCCCAGAAACCCTCAAACCCGAAGACTCATCGAAAAGCCAGCATCGTTCCCAAGGCATCCGAGCTCACTCTGATCTGGGTATTGTCTCTTGTTCAAGCCCGCGGCCTTCCAGGCGGACTTGTTGTGTTAGGATTGAGGAGGGGGGCAGGAAACGGGGAGAACATTCAAGGATCAGCGAAGTTCTTCCGATTGCCTGGTACAGATGATGAACCTCATGCTCGTTTATCATGGGCGTGTCTCCGTCGATCCGAATTCTGCCCGAAAGCACTTAAGTCACTTAAGGTATACCACAGGGCAAATGATCATAGATTCGGTTTTGCATGCTCCAGCACTGCGGCCGAACATAAGACTCTACAGTTCTTGCTTGCTTATGCTTCAAGACATCGACGTGGGGCCTAGCACCACAGGTTGGCTCGATCAGGCTTCGTCAACCCATCCACTCATATCTTTCGACCGCCTCGATGACCGTCTTGACGGCCCGCATGCCATAGTCCTGGGTGCGAAACAGTGTAAACAGATTCCGCGTTTCAAGACTTCGTTTGTGCTAGATGCAGCATGCTGATACTGAGTCTGGAGATCTAGCTAAAGAAACCGGAAGAGTGTTTCAACTTGCGCAACACCATGCGAGAAGATGCAGGCATCCAATGCGTTACACAGTTTGACGTGGCATGAAGGTGTCGAACAAAAACACAGCCTAAAAGCCTGTTCCGCACGGGCAGGCTTTCACCACAGCTTCAGCTGATTTCCTCTAGGCTGACAAGCAGCTGTATGTTGAAGGAATCACAACCCGAAACGCATGGGGATTGTAGGGTGCTGCACAAGCGAATGATCTACCCAGTGCTACATAGATATCGCACAGACACCACATTCTACTTCTTGCTTTGGATGCCATGTTGGTATATCTTTTGGATTCTTTCGTGCGCCACTTCTGGTAGCTCTCACGCACCGGGAACTGAATCTAGGGGCATTCAATGAATGAAACAAATGCTGTGGTAGGGTGCAGCCGCTGAGACGACAATCGCACGAGGCTGATGGTTTCTTCAAGGGGCCTTGGGCACCTACATCTTACCTCTTCGTCTAGAACATCGCTATACCCTTCAAGTGCCCGCCAGCGCCCAATACACCACGAACCGAACCCTGGAAAGCACATCCCCCTCCGGCATGCAGGAACCCGGCATAATGCGATTGAGCAGAGAGCTGCTCGGAACAGAGCTGGAAAGTGGTGACCTGCATTGGAGGGGTTTCGGACCGTTTCGGATGGATTGGTGTTCACATGTGTGTACCCACCCACCCACCCACCTACCTACTTACCTACTTACTTACCTACCTACCTACTTACCTACTTACCTACTTACCTACCTACCTACCTACCTACCTACCTACCTACCTACCTACCTACCTATATGCGCTGGCGTCCGCCGAGCATGTTACGCGCCAGATCCTTCTACTGAGCAAGGCAACAGCGACAACTACAGTAAATGATAACTGCCAGGATCAGAAGCAATGTCGTAGTGAGCATAAACTAACAAAAGTTATTCTGCAACACGTAGTACTGGTAAGAGTCCTCTCAGCACCGACACCACATCGAATAGCAATACCGGCACTGTTAACAACGACAACTGCAGCCATCACAACACGACTCTTCGCAAAGCCCCGCACCATCTTCTTCGCAAGGTGTCTTCCCTTCTCGAAGCCGAAGGCATAGAAGCTAATCTCTCCAATGAGCCCTGGGCAGCTGGGCTGAGCAATGGCTTGGCTTGACATAAACGCGACCTGAACATGAAAGCTGCCAGTCACATGGCACTGGCCCTTCGCTGCTATTCTTCCTGTTGTTCCGATCAACGTGCTTCTTTCGGATTCAGATGATTTTGCCTGATGAGTGTTGGAACCTTGTCTCTGCCCGTCTTTCACTTGATGGGACGGGTCTCTGTGAGGTTATACTTCACGCAATCATCATTGCCCGACTCAGAGACCGACCGTCAAGGGATCCCTCAACCAGCTGGAGGTTAAGGCTACAGTTGCTACAGTTCCTCAAACATAGGCACATATTGCTTCTCAATATAGATTTCATAGGCCAGCAACCTGCTATCTCAGTATCTGGAGTCCTTCTGCGGACTATGGGGTCCCGATCTGCATCTGGGCTCCATTGCTGGTGCAGATGCTGGCAGCTCGGGCTCTACGGGGCACCGCTTGCCAGACGCTTGCGGTTGGCAGTTATCATTCCGTCGATCTTCAGGTCTGACACAAGTGGAATTCGCGCATCTGAGCTGCAGGCCATAGTCTGGGACCATCATTGCCTCAGCCCGAAGTCATTGGTCGAATTGGCCAGCAAGCAAGGTCAATCTCCCAGTTCATCCCACGCCCCATGCCGTCATATCCCCCCACGCATTTGCGAATTTCTCAACCCGCCTACCAAAGCAACATTTCCAAAACTACAATACACAAAGCATCTCCTAATATCCAACCACTAACCCATAACGCAATCCAGAACACAAAAACACGTCCCACAACAAAACCAAGATCCAAAACAGAATCGCAAAACCGATCGGAGGTCTGGAGTAAGCCACCCTAGTGGAAAATCCTTCCAAGGCTATAATCTCCCTGAACTTGGAAATGCCCTCGGCATGGGATGTTACTGGGATGAATTTGTGAAATGCTGGTTACGTACGTGCAAATATGTAACAAGAAACTGCAAAAAGTGTTGCCAATCCGTTTGGTTCTTGGCTGTCTGCTTGTTTTGTCA